TACCATACCACTCAGTGGAAACGAGCCATTAAAGTATCGGTTTCTTAAAAAAAACACGTTACTGACTCCAATATTTTAAATGTTAGTGTATATTTCTTTTTATTCCTTTTCAGTGTTACTTTGGGTCAAAAAAATATGTTATTGGTCTGTGCAGCCCGTTTGATTTGTGTGTTCCTTATAATCCACAAAAGCATCTGTTCGCTAAATCTGTGTCAGTAATACCTAAAAAAAAACATTCATTTTTGAAGCCTTAATGCTAAAGGCTCACATAGCCTGTTTTTACAATAATCTTACATTTGTTTAATTTGTCATGTTCCCACTTTTCCTCCATTTTCTTGTCTTTGTCATCATTTTACTTAAACTATTTGTTCCCTTGACAACACTTTTGCACACCCAATTTCCTAAAACTAACTTTCCTCCTTTGTTTTACTGTTCACACCTTTGCTTTAAGCTATACCTCTTGCCTTCAGCATCAGATTTCTCTACCAGGATGTGTCCTTTCCAGACAAGGTGATCCCACCCCTCGGCTGCGTCCTAACACTTGTCAAAACAGTTTTCAGTGGGCCCTTTCAAAGCTCTAAAAAAGGTGCTCTTGTTTAATCAGAAATGATTATGCCCTCCATAACCACTTTGTTAGGCAGTAAACCTGCCTGTCTTCCTGTGTGTGTCTCTTTCTGTCTGACCCTACTCCTTAGAGGAGGGCAATTTTAACTGCGGCCATGGAGGAGGGATTTTTCCACTCATTGAATAAATACTGTAGACATACAGAGGACACAGAAAGGACAGTAAAACACGCTGTCTGTGTGTATTAAGCGCCCTAAATCTTTTAAACCATATGAGTCACTGAATGTTAAATGAATATACTTCAGGTGCTGTCTGTGGTCACGACACATAAATGGGGATTCAAATCAAATAATCCAACAGGCAAATCCAGACGTCAAGCTAAGTGGCATCTGCAGTGCATTTCTGCTCTACACAGATTCCTCATTTGGCTCTTCTGGTTGTTAGAAAGGGGTGTTCTTTTGTCTCAGGGAGGTGGAATTAAAAGCCTCTCGGGCAACTGAGGTGGGCCACATAATAAAGAGGACACAAAATGAAAGTTTCATTATTGATATCCTTTAAAGTGGTTCCAGGAGTTAAGATGCTATCTGCTCTGAGGGCACTGGGGTGGTGAATAGTCTATTTCTTTGACTCCCTCTTTCTTTTATCAAGGTAATAAGGAAGGACACTTTACCCACAATTTTAAAACGAGGATGCTGTGACATTGATACAGAGATTCTACTTCTTTTTGTGCAGTGAGACATAGAAAACTGTTTTGATTTATTCATTTTCTACAGATCTCATAATGCTCAAGGTTACCGGGTTTGCAAGTGGAAATAGACAAACAGTGGATTGTCATTACGATCTTAACAGGATTTGTTAATGGTAGCAGTCCATGGTATACACTAACATTCATAAGATTTATTTTTTTTTGCAGCAGGGATGCATTAAATTGACCAAAAGTGCCAGTAAAGACATAATATTAGAAATGTTCAAATTTTCAAATAAATGTTGTTGTTTGAAAAGCTATCATTAAAGAAAATGTATTGTGGTTTCCATAAAGATATTAAGCAGCAAAGCTGTTTTCAACATTGACAATAACAAGAAATGTTACTTTAACACCAATTCAGCATATTAAAATGATTTCTGAAGTATCACGTGACACTGAAGACTGGAATAATGGAAAAAATAATCAAAGGAATAAATGACATTTTAAAATATCTTACATATACACATATCTTATATATATACAATTTGCAAATTGCAATCATATTTTACTATTTTTTGCTATATTTTTGATCAAATAAATGCAGGCTTGATAAGCATATGAGACTTCTTTCAAAAACATTTCCATCCCCAAACCTTATAACGGTAATGTATATGTTCACCTTATGCAACAATGCACACAAGAACGTTTTTAAATATATTTGCTGTGTTTCACCTTTATGGTGATTGCTATCAGTGCATACATTAACACTCCATATCAGTGTCAGAAGAACTGAATGCAGCAAAGTGTGAGGAGGGAGAAAGGAAGAGAAGAATAGAGTACTCACAGCTTTCTAGCTGCATGGTACAGGTTTGAATGTCCATTGGGAAATTCTTCAAGTCCATGGGACAAGACAGGATAAGTGTTAGCCTAAGACAGAGTGCAAAACAGGAAAGCAGAAAGTGGGGAAGAGTCAGAGTGAACCCACAAAGGGCAGAAAAAAGGTGTTAAATAGAGGATAGAGAAAGACCCAGCTTACAAAGAAGATTCAAAAATGAAAATTGTCATGATTTTATATGTCTCTCTTTTTTTAACAAATATCTGACCAAGCTTTTTAAAATGACTTTGGTGAATGAGAATGGGGCTATCAAGTTTCAAAATGACACAAAAACACCATAAAAATATCACAATAATGGTCAATATGACTCATGCACTACTCCTATAGTGTTTTGTGAATAAATTATTATTTTGAGATGGATCCTTTGAAAGAAAGACCAAAAAAAGATTTAAAAAAATCAAGATGCTTTTGCATTTTTAAGTTTGACCCTAGTGATTGTAATTCCATATAAACAACCTGTACATTGTTCAAAATGTCTTATTTTTTTGTTTCAAAGAAGGAAAGTCATATAGGTTTGGAACAACATGAGTTTGAGTAAATGATGACTGAATTTTCATGCCTTTAAGGGCAGCCATTTTATTTCAGAATGCACCAATATTCAAAATCCCAGTTTATACAGTCTCTCTACAAGATCAGATCTCTATGGCTGTACACTAATTCCCTTTGAGATTAGAGAGTGAATCCCCAAATGAGGCAGTGAATTGCTGTTTTTGTATCATGTGCCTTCTTGGTAATAGCAAACTAACTGCCTGACAGTTTTTTTTCTTTTACATTTATTTATCATGCTGCTGACACATTACGGTTTTAGCCGTGAGGAAGAGTCACCACTAATAGAATAGAATAGTTTAGATAGAGGAAACAGTGTACTTACCTGCTTTAATGCAGTGCCTCCGAGAAAGACAAAAGCCACCAGTGCTTTTTTGAAGAGCCAGATTCTTTTGTGCTGTGATAACCCTAAATTCAAACCCCAAAATATCTACACTTACACACTGATGTGGAGACCTTTTTAGGCTCAACACGTGACATTTTTTTCCCACTGAAGTTCCCAAAGAGCAACCCTGGCATGATTATTTTCAATTCCATCCACCCTTAGAATTAACGTTTTAAATCATATAATTTTTTAAAAGAGCAAAATTTAAAAAAGTGCTAACTTAAAAGTACTAACTTTGTTTCTAGGCCACATATCTCTCATCTTATGTAGGCCTATAGTATGTTTACTATGACTAATAATTGCTCAAATTGGGATCATTGTGATGCTATTAACCAACCCTGTTTACTTTGGCTCATGTCTTTAACATATAATCCTGAAGGAGAATTTTCATGCAAAAAATTGCACTTTTGTACTAATTCTTGTAAAGTCCTCTGTGTTCGCTTAAATCTATGAGAGACTTCACTGCTTACCTAATACTGTATAGCACATTCCCATTCTGAAAGATCCTCAGCAGCTTGTTGTCTGTTGTGACTTCATGGAAGTTTGCACCTTTTTCATTAGCAAAGAACAAGTCAGGTTTCCATATGGAGTCCAGCATAGAAGGGTCCAGGTCTAGAGAAGCATCAGGATATTCACTATAGGCCAATCGAGGGTCGTTCCACTGCTGGCGTAGAAAGACGTTAAGCCTATAATCCTGTAGGAAGAGGGAGAGAAAACCAAAAAACGTTAGGTCCTGAAACCTTATAGGTCGATTTCTGGATTTGATTATTATTAATGTTCCTTTTAGTTTTAATGTTTCGTTTTAGTTCTTCTTTTTCTAACGTTTTAATTGCAAACCTAACACAAGCTGAATCAGATATGCTCTTAAAGGGTTAGCTCACCCAAAAATGAAAATTAGACTGTGTTTTACTCACCCTCGAAGCAGCCTAGGTGTGTATGACTTTCTTCTTTCAGACGAATCCAGCCGGAGTTATATTAAAAATTGTCCTGGCTATTCCAAGCTCTATCATTGCAGTCAGCGGGTGTTGCAGTTGAACCGCATCCGGTAGGGGTTCAACTGCAACTTCAACTTCAACTTCCATGACAGATAATGGAAGTGAGAGAAAAGTGTTTGTTACGTTTGAAATATGGAGATTTTTCTTACAAAAACGCATGGATTCACTACAGGAGGCCTTTATTCACCCCTACACACCCCCGGAGTGGTGTGAGGCATGTTTATTATGAATGCGTGTGCTTTATTTGATGACTTGTGGACTGTTCGACTGCAGAGTAAAACACAAGCTATTTTTCATTTTTGGGTGAGCTACCCCCCGAGGCATCCTAGGTGTATATGACTTTCTTCTTTCAGACGAATCCAGTCGGAGTTATATTAAAAATTGTCCTGGCTATTCCAAGCTCTATCATTGCAGTCAGCGGGTGTTGCAGTTGAACCGCATCCGGTAGGGGTTCAACTGCAACTTCAACTTCAACTTCCATGACAGATAATGGAAGTGAGAGAAAAGTGTTTGTTACGTTTGAAATATGGAGATTTTTCTTACAAAAACGCATGGATTCACTACAGGAGGCCTTTATTCACCCCTACACACCCCCGGAGTGGTGTGAGGCATGTTTATTATGAATGCGTGTGCTTTATTTGATGACTTGTGGACTGTTCGACTGCAACACGCGCTGACTGCAATGATAGAGCTTGGAATAGCCAGGACAATTTTTAATATAACTCCGACTGGATTCGTCTGAAAGAAGAAAGTCATATACACCTAGGATGCCTTGAGGGTGAGTAAAACACAGTCTAATTTTCATTTTTGGGTGAACTAACCCTTTAACATGCCAGTAAATAACTTGTTCTCCCTTGACATTAATTTCTGTTGGAAGACCTGCATTTCCAATGATCAAATCCCAGGTTAACCGACTAACAGACCGTTAACAATGGCAATCTGTATCGGTCAACTGAAACATTCCGCTGACAGAGACATTTAAGCACAGGCTTTAGAGGATGGGTATATCACCGTTACTTTTTTCCCTCAAGATCCTGGCCAATTTTTCATTTTAATTGCATGGAAGACAGTTCATTATCAGCACATCAGCTGACCCACTGGACTCTAAACTAAGTGATGTGCTCCTCAAGACAAGGAGAAGTCAGGTAAGTGACTAAAAACTCACTCAGCAGTATTATAATTGTAACAGGGCATACTGCTTGAAAGAATAGAGAGAAAGAGAAGGAATTCCCCTTTGCAATGCTGAATATTTGATATTAAACCAAACTGAACCATGTGTGATTACATACCATAGTTGTCTCTGTAATGGATCCAAAGCTGTTGATGAAAATATTACAGGTGACATTTACTGGTGGTCCTGTTGAAATAGAAGGGAGAAGTTTCTTACGTTTAGACTAACACTTACTTTTGTTCAGAGAAGTTTGAATAATGAATGAAGATTTTTGTAGAAAAAACCCGATAGTCACCATTTACTTTTATTATATAGAAAAAGACCAGCATGAACATTCTGCCTAACATCTCCTTTTGTGGTTCACGGAAAAACAAAACGTACAGATATAAAATAACGGTGAGTAAATGATTTTTGGGTGAGCTATCCCTTTAATAATAACAACAACAGAACTGAAGATGAGCATTCCTGGTCCTTGATGTATTTGGAGTAATAGCACAAAGTCAGGTCATTGGGTTCTTTCTACTGTCACCTCATTAAGTTTCCAGGAGCCACTATTGTCAAGCTGCTACCAGTTTCACAAGTTATGTTGCAAATATACCGACAAATCCTGTTTGTTTACATTCTGTCACACCTTTGAAGTTGGGCCTGATGCGAGCGTCATAGCCGGAGGTTCTTCCCATCAGCTTGTCCAGAAAGTCCGATGGGGACATAGGCTTTGGGGCTGGCCTGCTGGAGGACTTTATCTCGTCTTTACAGGAGCCCAGTCTGCCAGAGATAGAGAAAGCGAAGAAGAAGGGGTGTAGAAAAAAAAAAACAGCAAGAGAAAGATGAGGTAAAGGATGACAGATACAGTCAGTGATAATGACAAAGAAGACTGGCATGAACCGTTTTAACAGATATTTTAAAAAGAAGTGTTTAAAAAGATTTGTTGAAAAGACCAGCATGCATTTCCTAGCTGGTGGAACTAGCACACCAACATCCCAAACATATGCTTGTGACCTGCAATACTGGTCTATTCATCAGGGAATACAGATGCATAATGCATTAAACATACGTTCGTCATGCTGTGTTTTTACTGAAGCCTGTCACAGTGATCATGGCAAAGAAAAACAGAACCCACAAAATCCCTATAGGCAGGGGGAGGCATTGTGTCTGACAGACTGATGGCTCAATTGAAATGCTGCGAATGTCACAGTTAGGGGAGACGACTTTGATTCCAGTTCCAGCGGGACTCAGTCTGTGCCTGACAGACCTGCCAGGCCGGAGCAAGTGGATCCCAGAGGCCGGAGTCTTGGATTCGACTGGATCTTTTTACTTCTTGATACTTCAGAAGAAGTGTTTTCTGCTTGCTTTTGATACAATTTTAAACAGATCAGTCATGACCCCAGTCCGCAACCCCTGAGGAGCGAAGGGCCATCAGACTCCCTGTCTCCTCCCAACGTCAAACTTTCTGATCAGTGAGTCTTTCTCAGTGCTTTTACCACAGAAAGTGTGGAGTGAATTTTAGTGGAAGCTCCCAGGTGAGTCTCTACTTAGATTGCATAGTGTTTGAAAAAAAAGTGTAACCCAAGTCTGTGTTCTTTCCCGAAGCCCTGGAAGATACAAATCTTTCTTGGAGCGAGAAAAAGTCCAATATGGGTTTAAATTTGCCTCACAGGCTCCAGGGCTTCCTCATCATCCAGTTCAGATCTTGTTTATCCGAAATAGAAGAGAAAGGCTGCTAAATGAATCACCCCCACTTTTTTATGTGGTCCAACTGCCTTAGAAAATGTGGCGTTTCGCTCACATTCATGCCTTTCAGCAGGGTTTATGACGAGAGCGTGCTAGAACAGAACATGCATTTTTAAAAAGTCGCAGGAGAGCAAGGCAGCAATCAAGTTTGTTTCTCAGCCTTGAGTGTCTGACTCACGTTTGCATCCAAGTACCATCAGCATCAGATTTTGTTTATAAACCTCACGGCCCCACGGCTTATATGCCAACTGTGCCAAGTTCATATCGAAGTCTTTCTGAATTTGGGAAGCTTCATTCCATTGAGCTCTTTACAGGTTGGTTTTCCTCTTTCTTGCCCTTTCTTTCACTAGGAGAGAAACCATATATTTTACGTTCTCTCTCGTTCTCCCTCTTTCTCTGTCTCACCTAAACAATCAATGTTCTTCTTAACACCACAGTGTATTACGGACAGTCCGATTACATTCTAATCCCCAGTAAAATGGTTTATATAATATGTGGCTCAGGCACACAAAGAACTGCTATGGCAAGAAGCCATGGCAAAGGTCCATTGCTTGTGTTTGTGCTGGGGGTAATCCATGGTTTCTGTTGTTTTGGTTGTCTGGTATTCACCACCACTTCTAATATTCCAAAGAGATTATGGAGTCGCATTTGAAATGCACAAACTTGTCATTTCAGGCCAGTGATAAGACTGTATACATGATTGCAATATCCATTGTGAAGCTGTGGTGGGTGTAGTGGTATTATAGTATATGTGCTCTCCATCTGTAATGACAAAATGAAAAGTTTTAATTAAAGTGGTAGAGTCCAGATCCATCCTTGGAAAAAAAAAAATGAAAAAAGATTATAGCCAATATTTTATATTGGTTATAGCCAATATTTAACCTTATATTTTGAGAGATATATTTGTCTTTAATGATGAGAGATTCCATAAGAAAACTGTTAAGCATTATTCATGTTTTTAAATATATTTTTGCATTGACATGTTTACATTTATTTATATTTGCAAGCATTCAGCTTACCCTTTGGCATGACACATAATGCGTGGCAAATTTGGTTAGTCATATTTCTTATGGCCATATGTTATATACTTTCTTCTGATTTTTGGTTAGACTTCCTCAAATATAATTAGGAGGAGTAGTTTTGCCTTCATTTTTATCTTAACCCATCTCATTTTGAACAACGGAAGTAAAAAGTGAAACTGCACACTTAAACTATTTTCTAAAATAATTTAGCATTAGTGTTTCATCTGTATTTTAAAATTAACATAATGTTTAAATTATTTTGTTGTATTATAATTATAGTTGTCTTTGGATGTACTGTAATGATTCGTCTGAAATATGATTTCCTCTGACAGCTTGGAAACATTATTTCAGGGCTGCATGTAGAGAAGACCGTTGAAAGACAAATTCCTGCGACAGTTATCTCTTTAGTCTGCATGAAATATTGACACATGAAACTCAGATCTCCTTTAATACAATTTCCCATGTTAGCAATATTTCTTGCAATTTGTGACAGGAATTAACATTTAGCTCAACACGACTAGCGCAGAGAGAACGATAAAACAGAAAAAAATGAATGTGAGTGCTGTAATAAATCTATCAGACAGTCAACAGAAAAGTTCACTAAGGTCACAAAAATAATTATTCACAAACATGCATTGAAAAGATTAAGTTAGCCAGTCACGTGATTACCTGCCATCTCTTTCACAAAAGCAGTCTGTCAACAGCGTTCAATTAAAAAGTAATTAATTAGCTTCAATGATTGACCTGCTGCCCTGTGAAACTATAATTGTCTGGAGGTTTTACTGCACTTGATTATAGAGATGCACAGTGCCTGTGTGTTGAATCTTACATAGTTACTGTCTGTTTTTCAATATTTCTTCTTTTTATTTTTGTCAAGATTATGTGGAAATATTCATGATTGGATTCCTCCCCCCCTCCATGAGTTCTTAGTCATCAGAAACAGTTTCAGATGTTGAATACATCAGCATAATGTATTAAAGCATGCCTAAATTTTCAACGACAACGCAGAAAAGTTTAGAAAGTGGTACAATTAAAGATTAGAATAAAATTCCCCTCTCTGAACTTTTCAGAGGAGTCTGGGAAATAACTGGGGGGATGTTAATGGAGGCAGATCTAAGCTTGTTTCATGCTGGGCTGTTGCCTTCAACTGGGTGATGACCACAACATTTATTTTTTTTATTACTGTAAGCCTCGAGAGATGGCTGACCCCTTCATCAGCCGTCATGAATGTATAATAACTGCTTTATACCATTGCTAACTTCACAGTATCTCAGATCCATTCCCATAAGACAGAACTGTACCAGCGCAGCAATCCAGTCACGTAACTGTGCGAACATGAGAGCTACTCATCAAAGTGTGAGTGGAGTGTTTCTGAGGTGTGGAAATGCTGAGATACAGTGAGAGGGAGCCGCGTAGGGGATTCCCAGGACAACAGCTTATAAACAGATCCGCTGTGGTAGGGATGAAATGAGAAGCTAGAAACTTCAAGACAGAAAACAAAACAATTTCTCTATCGGTCTGGCAAAAAAAAAAAAAAAGGGG